TTTTTTTCATATTGTGACACAGTTCCAAGAGAAACAGAATATTTTATATAGATACAGTAATTGGTAATTGTACATTAACTCTTTCCCCAGCATTACCAAGATATTTCATAAATGAAGGGACAATGCAAAGTTTTTACTGCGATCTTTGCTTTAGGTATATATCGGTAAGGAAAGTCCTAATGCATTTCTGACGGGATGTCTGGGTATCTTGGGTGCGACATGTAAGACAACCAGAGTAAGCAAAAGTAAGATCGCATGTGCAAGTGCATTAAGCACTCACCGGCCACTTTATTAGGTACACCTTACTGGGACCAGGTTAGACCCCTTTTTGTCATCAGAACTGCCTTGATCCTTCATGGAATAGATTCAACAAGGTACTGGAAATATCCCTCAGAGATTTTGGTCCACGTTGACATGATAGCATCACACAGTTGCTGCGGATTTGTCCGCTGCACATCCATGATGTGAATCTTCCGTTCTACCTCATCCCAAAGGTGCTCTATTGGATTGAGAACTGGTGACTGTGGAGGCCATTTAAGTTCAGTGAACTCATTGTCATGTTCAAGAAACCAGTCTAGGATGATTCGTGCTTTATGACATGGCGCATTATCCTGCTGGAGGTAGCCATCAGAAGATGAGTACACTGTGGTCATAAAGGAATGGACATGGTCAGCAACAATACTCAGGTAGGCTGTGGCGTTGACACGATGCTCAATTGGTACTAATGAGCCCAAAGTGTGCCAAGAAAATATCCCCCACACATTACACCACCACCACAAGCGTGAACCCTTGATACAAGGCAGGATGGATCCATGCTTTCATGTTGTTGACATCAAATTCTGACCCGACCATCCGAAAGTCACAGCAGAAATGGAGACTCATCAGACCAGCCAACGTTTCTCCAATCTTCTATTGTCCAGTTTTGGTGAGCCTGTGTGAGTTGTAGCCTCAGTTTCCTGTTTTTAGCTGACAGAAGTGGCACCCGGTGTGTTCTTCTGCTGCTGTAGCCCATCTGCCTCAAGGTTAGACGTGTTGTGTGTTCAGAGATGCACTTCTGCAGACCTCGGTTGTAACAAGTGCTTATTTGAGTTACTGTTGTCTTTCAGTCAGCTGAAACCAGTCTGGCCATTCTCCTCTGACATCAAAAAGGCATTTGTGCCCACAGAACTGCCGCTCACTGGATATTTTCTCTTTTTCTGACCATTCTCTGTAATTCCTAGAGATGATTGTGCGTGAATATCCCAGTAGATCAGCAGTTTCTGAAATACTCAGGCCAGCACCAACAACCATGGCAAGTCACTTAAATCACCTTTCTTCCTCATTCTGATGCTCGGTTTGAACTGCAGCAGATCCTCTTGATCATGTCTACACGCCTACATGTATTGAGTTGCTGCCATGTGATTGGCTGATTAGATATTTGAGTTAACAAGCAGTCGGACAGGTGTAACTTATAAAGTGGCCGGTGAGTGTATATTATATATCTTGAAAATGCAAGATGAGAACACTTGATGTCTTGTGATAAATTATCATATATTCCCGGCAGACAATATTCTTAGAACTGTGAAATTTAGTCAAAATCAGCTTTATTGTCAATTCAGCCACATGTACAAGACATATAGAGAATCGAAATTGCGTTACTCTCAGACCCAAGGTGCTTAACATTAATATAAAAAAAATATATATAAAAAATAGTAGAGTTTAAGAAAAAGAAAATTTACAGTATAAACATTGCACATAAATGTGGTCTAAAAAATATACATAGGTAATAAAATTGTAATCAATACAGTGACATTAAGGGCATATAGCAAATGAGTGCAAAGTAAACTAGAGTTGTGCAGATAAAGAACAGTATAGTGCAAAAAGAACTTGTAAACATGATAATTGTGATAAAGTGACTGTCATATTGGGAGGTAAGAATAATCAAATAATAAAATGTCATATTTAGGTAAGAATAATAATAATGTCATATTTAGGTAAGAGTTATTTAGGTAAGAATAATTTGGTATTTAGGTAAGAATAATTAAGAAAAATAATGTCATATTTAGGTAAGAATAATCAAATATTCTGGCGGTGACTGGCAACTTTTTAAAAAATGCTTGAAGAGTTAAACAGTAGCGATATCTACATGAACAAAAAATTCATTAAATTCATTGCATCTGTTCAAGTTTCTATCTGGTTTCTCTCAAATCTCCAAAATACAGAACTAATTTAACATTTTGACATCGACATATTTACCATTTTGATCTCCTCCAAGATTAGGAAGAGCTATAAAGTCACGAACCGGACACTTTGAGTTATTAAATAAGTGTTTGGGTCTCGCAGATCCCAGACTTAAAAGTCAATCTAAATCTTTTTTTCCCCACACAATACTAAACGCAGCTCGTTATTTCAGCGGCTTCTGAAGCAGACAGACCCGATGAGGATTTGATGTGATTAAATTTGAACACTCAAACATTCAGAAGCCGGATGAAGTCATAAACAGCACAGAACCCAGAAACAGATAGCCAGGATTAATCTAGCACAGAAACAGCTATTTACAGCCAAAGCCTTTTAGCAGGCATTAAAATACACTAATATCTGTAGTTGTGTGATTGAAGATGCGGGAGGGGGAGAAAGAAGCACTTAAGAAGAAGAAGAAGATTATTCACTTGATTATAACAGTGACTCAAAGAGACTAATCCTCCGCACACTCGCCTGCCTGACACCTTCATTTCCTAATGGCACAAAGAGCAATTTAATCCACGCTTCTTCAGCTTTTTCAAAAGCAGGCCCAATAAACATTAATAAAAAGATGCTACACAAAAAAAGGATGTTTAGGAGGAATATTTGAGGAGGATATTGCATCTCCGGTGGCTTTTTGTATATGGTTGAAGTCAAAATTACTAGTCTTCCTGTGAATTTTTAGGATTTTCTTTTTCAAATGATGTTTAACAGAGCACATAATTTTTCATAGTATGGCTGACAATATTTTTTCTTCTGGAGCAAGTCTTATTTGTTTTATTTCAGCTAGAATTTTCTAATTTTCAAAAATATTTCATTTCAATTGACTACAGAACAAAAAATGGTTTTACAATGACAGGGCTGGAAAATAATGCCTGATGTCCCGGGGCTAGCATGTGAGACGCTTGTGACACTAGACAGGATGGTTACTAGCCCGATCAGGCCATTGCTGCCTTGTCACTAGTTTAATTTGACTGTAACTGTCTGTCAATTGCGTGCAAATACAGTCTCTGGATGCTTTCACGCCTAGATGTTTGTTAATGTGGTTCGTTGGGCATATGTGAATCCCGCAATCGCGCTCTGATTGGCGCCAAATCAACTGGCCGAAATCGCCTGAATGAGCTGGTCTCGGTTCAATTGAAACAAACTCTGAAGTAGACTGACTGTAGTGAGAAAACAAAGCTATTCAACTGAGTAATCAGGCTATATCACGGTTGTGTAAGGGTGGGATGAGTTGGGCGGGATGTCATTCCTACCGGCAAATGTGTGTTTCATGTTGATTACGAAAGTGAAAGCATGCTGAAACATAACCGAGGGCTGTTTATCCGTTAGGAACATTAACAGAAATTACCATCTGATCATATTTCCATATTTTAATCTGATTTCAATCATATTTTAATCCAATATGTTGTATTAGGCCTGTTGTTTGGACATGAAAGAAAGATCAACATTGATCTGCTTCAGGATCTGACTGCAGTCCTGGTGTTGTGTCGAGAAATGCATCCTTGCGGTAAAATGCGCACATAGACTTTCATTAGCATTCTTAGCATACATTAAAAAAAAAAAAAAAAAAAAAAGATTAAAACGTGGGTCAGTAGAAAAAAATCCTTAGAGTAGAACCCTGTACTGATTACCCTAACTTGCCTAATTAACTTATTTAGTCTTTAAATGCCACTTTAAGCTGAATACTAGTGTTATAATAGCCAGCGATCTAGCGGCTGCAGATCGTTTGGAGAACTACAATTCTGCCACATTAACAAACTACAACTCCCAACATGCACATCACACACACGGTTCCTCATTACTAGGCCCACACAGAGAATTCCGCAGATTTTTAGTCCATCATTGATTCTGTTTATTTACTTGTGTAAATGTGTGTACACTTATATATATATTTAGTTTTTAAATTCTTTATAGTAATATTATTGACTAATATGAAATATTATTTCTTTACAATATAGTTTGTAAAGTAATATTTTTTGTCTTTTAGTAGAGATATTATATGAGACACTTGCTTTGTTTACCAAATAAAGTGGATGTAATTGGATTTGCGTTGTAAACAATAAATAAAAGTTAAAAAGTATCACTTTTTATTTCAAATATTAAGATTTTAGTTATGATACTCACAAAATAATTCCGCATAAATCCACACATTTAACACAATTCTGTGCAGAAATAGCAAAAAAAATGTCAGCAGATTCCATCTGGCCCTACTCATTACCACTGATTACACACCCAGCTGGTAACTCATCATGGACTGATATCCTGGACTGTTTATACACCACACATGCACACACTCAGTGCTGAGTCTTGTTATTCTGTAGTATCACCAATCATTTTCTTTGTTTGTTTTCCATACTGTGTCCAGACCCTTGATTTGTTTATTGATTTTTTGCTGTTAGCCGTCTGAACCGATCTTATCGCCTTTGACTTGACTACTCCTATTTGCCCTGTATGATACAGTTTGCTGTTGTCATTGGCCATTACTTCTCTGACCATTCTTTGTTTAACAAAGACTCTGCACTTGGATCCCCAACCCTGTTGTCAAAACCATAAGTTATAACTAGTATCTTGAAAAATATCTAGTAAATATAATGTACTGTCATAATGGCAAAGATAAAATAAATGAGTTATTAGAAATGAGTTAATAAAACTATTATGTTTAGAAATGTGTTTAAAAAAATCTTCTCTCTTTTAAACAGAATATGAGGGAAATATATGGGGGCTAATAATTCTGACTTCAACTGTATACCAAAACATAACAAAAATCATAAACATACCTCTCTGTGAAGTTTTGGAGGACGCTGAGCAGGTTTGCTAGCATGTTTGCCTGTCTTTTAGCTTTTTCGGTGTTCAGGGTGTGTGTTGTTCAGTCTGGAAAAGAATATTAAAAATCTAATTAGGAGAAAATGCAATAAACCGAATTTACATCATAATCAATCGTGCACTGTGAGAGTGTTTATTGACGTACAGCAATGGTGTTTGACGGAAATGCAAAGCTCAATATGCAGTGCTTGTAATTACATTCAGTTGTGCTGATTAACAATCCAATGATTAGTTAGCATACTGTACTGTAACTTTATTTTTGATTTAAAACAAAAACAATATTGTCATTTTATTTAATAACCAAAAGCACAGATTAATAAACTACACAAAAACATAAACAGATAAATGCTATGCATGAGTTCTCTATTTGTATATATTGAAACATTACATTTTGAAACAGAAACACTAAAATAATACCTATAACAGATTAAATTTAGAAGTTCAATATGTCAAAAAATAAACAAATAAATAGATAATTATACATAAATACATACATACATACATACATACATACATACATACATACATACATAAATGCATGCAGATTCATTTATATTTTTGTTTATTTTTGATATATTGAACTTCTAAATTTAATCTAAAGAAACAATAAATAAATAAATAAATAATTTATTCATTCATTTTGACATATTAAACTTCTGATTTTAATCTGCAGACAAAATAAACAAACAAATTAATACATCCATGCATATTTATCAATTAATTAATTCATTGTTGACATATTGAACTTCTAAATTTAATCTGCAGACAAAAGTAATGAATAAATAAACATATAATTAAATAAATGAATAAATAAATAAATACATCCGTGCATAATTATTTATTTATTTTTGACATACTAAACTTCTAAACTTAATCTGCAGACAAATAAAAAAAAAAAAATACACACATCCATCTGTGCATATTTATTAATTTATATATTTTTGACATATTGAACTTCAAAATATAATATTTGGACAAATAAATAAATAAACATACATCTGTGCATATTTATTTATTTATTCTTGGCATATTGAACTTCTAAATTTAATCTGTGGACAAAATAAATAAATAAATACAAACATACATCTGTTCGTATTTATTTATTTATTTTTGACATATTAAACTTTAAAATTTTATCTGCAGACAGGAAAAATAAATAAATAGATAAATAGATAAATAAATAAATAAATAAATAAATAAATAAATAAATAAATAAATAAATAAATAAATACATGCACACATACATCCATCCATCCATATTTATTTATTTATTTTTGCCATATTGAACTTCTAAATTTAATCTGTAGACAAAATAAATGAATAAATGCATACACATATTCATACACACATAAACAAACTAACAAATAAAACAAAAGAAAAATTATCATTCAGTGTAATGTCCTGGACATTAATTACATTATTAAATAAACATATATACTGTAATACCCTTTCAAAAGATATTGGCATGATCTAACGTTTTTTGGCCTGGGTATGCTGAAAAGACCATCACTCTATAGTTGAAATATCCAAGGGAGTTTAATTCCAAATATGCAGTTTGGTATTACAGTGTAACTGGTTCATATGAAATATATAAATCAGTATGGTATTGTTATTATTATTATTATTAGTATTATTGATTTAGATTTTTTTAAGTACAACAGAACAAACAATATTATCTCAAAATATACACACTTTGCAGGTAAATGCAATATCAACAACCATAGATTTGGCTTCAGCTGTTGGAAATACAAAAATAGAAATGTAGTGTTACAGAGTATAATCATCGAAAAGTCCTGAAAGGTAGTGTGCCAGTCAGCTTTCATGAGGGATTTGGATTGAGCACATTTCAGGTCTAAGTATCAGAGAAAGGGTTCCCAGGTAGCAAAGAATTTTCCATTAGAATTGAACCTCATAAGCATTTTCAAATGGATGAGCATATACACTTATACATATTCATTTACATATATTTATTTTGAAGGGAGAATAATTACAAATATTAACCCCAACCCAACACACATCCAATATGTTATGAAAAACTTTACAGTAACTACATCGGTCAAGCTCATTGCTTGATAATAAGCTGGAGTAGAAGGATTGACATTTGATGTATATTCATTTCTGTTACATCACTGATGTAACTGGTGGGTCTGGATGTGTGTGCGCGTATGTGTGTGTAGCAGATGGCAGTCTGTCTCTTGAGCTCCAGCTAAGCCTCTGCTTTCCCCGTCGTCATCTGACAGGTGCCGCACTGCCGCTTCACAGATTCATCCAAAATCCAGCACAAAACACATTCCTTCACAACTGACCCTAATTTACACTGCCATCCCCTAATATTGGCACCCTTGGGAAAGACGCGTAAAGAAGGCTGCGGAAAAGTGTCTGCATTGCTAAACTTTTCAAACTTTTGCCCACTACATTTACAAAAGCATGTTTTTAGAATAAACAACAGCAAACAAACATGGACCAGTTTAATACAAATCACAAATATTTATTGCCTTTGTCATTAAATGAACACACAGTGTAATATTCTATTTGTTAATTTGCAAAGTTACTAGTTTTCATCTTGACTGGCCTGGCTGCAGTCCCGACCTGTCTCCAATAGAGAATGTGTGCAATTCTGAGTTATAATTCTGAGATATAAAGTCACAATTTCAAGTTATCGAGTCAAAAGTCAACCGTTACAGGTTTAAAGTCACAATTTCAAATTATCGAGTCAAAAGTCAACCGTTACAGGTTTAAAGTCACAATTTCAAATTATCGAGTCAAAAGTCAACCGTTACAGGTTTAAAGTCACAATTTCAAGTTATCGAGTCAAAAGTCAACGGTTACAGGTTTAAAGTCACAATTTTGACACAAAAAGTAGCAATTCAAAGTTATAAGGTCAGAATTTTGACTTTATAACTAGGATATGTGACTTTCATTTTTATCTCGCAATTCTGACTTAACAACTTACATTTTCGAGTTTACATCTCACAATTCTGAGACAAAAAGTCACAATAACCATTTTTTTTATTTTTTATTTTAGCCTTTTTTGTATTTAACGGGCTTCCATAAAATACTGAACAACAAAGTGATTTTGCTAAATAAAATAAAGCCATCTTTGCTGACATTCTTGTTTATATGCAGTTGAAGTCAGAATTATTCGCCCTCCAGTGATTTTTTTTCAAGTATTTCCCAAATGACGTTTAACAGCGCAATACATTTTTCGCAGTATTTTTTCTTCTGGAGAAAGTCTTATTTGTTTTATTTTGGCTAGAATAAACCAGTTTTTAATTACTTAAAACCATTTGAGGGTCAATACTTTTAAGCATTTTTCTTGACTGTCTGCAGAACACATCAGTGTTATACATTAGCACACAGTGATAGCAATAAATATCCAAAAAATTTCCGGAACGACTTTACCGGTAAATTAAAAAAAGCGCTGTTCACACAGACTAGGACGTTACGGAATTTTTTTTCCAGAAAACAGCATTCACACATCCTTTCCAAAATACCAGTTAATTCAACCAGAAATGGCCTCTAAACGGCTGCGCTTGTATTTATAGACATTTGAGTACATCACAAACTCTGTGGATAGATCAGTATTGTGAACAACTTCGATGAAAACATATGGAGGATCACTTTCACATGTCGAGATGTACATGATATGCGTGTCTGTGTAGGTAACTGTAACTGAAGGAAGCAGAGCATGAAGATAAACAAACAACGGCTTATCATAAGCATCTTATCAATAATTATTTACACAGTTGGCATTAAGATGAACATATAAACATTATCAGACTAACTTCTAGCAGCTAAATGTGTCTGGGAAAATATTCAAGGGTTTTTATTCTCATAAACTATGCGGACGTGAATGCGTCTGACTGTTCTGATTGGCTAAAGTAGACTTCTCACGTCAGCACGTTCTAGACGTGCACACGCTCTTTCCGGCAATCTTTCTTCTGCGTTCACACAGCGCAGCATTTGGGCAAATTACCGGTAACGTTACAACTTCTCTTTCCGAAAAATAGCCAGAACGAATTTAGTGGTATTTTCAAAAAGGGCCTGTTCACACATACAGACCTTTCCAGAAAACGTCGGAAAGGTCTGTATGTGTGAAAGGGGCTAATGATTTGACTAATTACCCTGCAAAAATACTAGTTTTCATCTTGACAGTCCCGACCTCTCTCCAATAGAAAATGTGTTTAAAAAGTTAAAGCGCAAAATACGACAACGAAGACTCCGTACTGTTAATAGCAACATGACAAAGTGGTAAATGCTTTAACTTTTTTTTTAAATGTGTTGCAAGAACCAAAATTGGTGTTTATTTGCTAAATTAAACACCATAAAAATCACGAGAAACACATTAAATAATGTTTGACGTGTTGTCTGCAATGAAATACAAATCAAAGTAAATTTGGAAATCACTTCTATCTTCTTTCATTTGCGTTTACCATACTGACCCAACATTTTCTGTTTTTTTTTTTTTTAGATTTATTTTTGGCCTTTTTGCTTTTATTATTAGATAGGACAGATTTTAGACAGGAAGCGAAGTGGGAGAGAGAGACAGGGGGTAGGGTAGGGAAATGTTGTCGAGCCGGGATTCGAACTCGCGACGCCCTGACGTGCTGTTGCACCATATGTCAGCAAGCTAACCACTAGGCTATTGCGCCGACGACCCAACATTTTCTGTTTTGGGGTTGTAAAAGAAAAACATAATGAGAATAACTGTGAAAAATGTCCGTGCTGTTTAATATCGCTTGGGAAATATTTAAAAGAGAATTTACATTTCACCGGAGGGCTAATAATTTAGTCTTCAGCACTATGAGGTCAAACTCATTCAGTCATTCATCACAACGGGAGAGAGAAATGAACAGAGCGGTGATTGGAGGCAAAAGCTTGTTGACCTTCACAAAATTGAAGAGGCTGTAAGAAAAACTGTTAAAACTCTGAAAATGCTCATTTAGCGGAGAAAAATCTGAAATTGCAGTCAACTTTAAGTGTTGAATCCACCTAGAAGAGCACAAGTGTTTGTCCTGTCCAAATGCATTGCCAGGACTGATGGATCA